TGCATATGGAACCCCTGAACTGGCCCGGAACGACAATCTTGTAACACTCTAATTTTTGTCACTCCCAACCGGTTCCCAAGACGCCATGGCGAGCATGGTTAGGAGATCTGAATGGGAATCTTATCACATCTCTAGGGAAATGAGTCTTTGCTCGCTGAATTTTTTTCTTCTTTTTGAACAAACTTCATAAATCGGACATCACCTAGCGTACTGCTTGGTACTGTCCTACTAACCCATACCATCATCAACCTCCGCGTTGATCGACGACGGGCAATCATATTATTTCTCTTTGGCTGAGGTCACTTGTCCGATTCTCTTTCCTGAGAGAATTTGAGACAGGATGAAAAATGACAATATCATTGACAGATAACGATTTTGTGATATGGTCACCAATGTGGAAGGCGCCCCTCATTTGGAGGAAACATTGGGAAACTTGAAACACGGACAATCAACTCTGCATGCAGCCACTTCTCCGCCTCCCGTATGGTATACGTTGATTCCATGGGCACAGAGAGAAAGGATACCGAGACAATGAAATAGAGGGACAGGGGAAAATGAAGGGAGGAAGAAAGAGAGAAATCGCAAGATGTGAACATAGGTAGTAGATCGAAACATTCAACGATGACCAACTACAGGTCCTAAGAGCAGGGACAAGCTCCATAACATGGGTCCCGGATGAAGAAGAGCGCCGTAACCATAAACGAACTTTGCCGATGATGCACACAAGCACTTGCAAGATTGGCCGCTGTCGACAAAAAAAGATAGGTATAGCAGATGCACATAGAAATGGATGGTAACGCCAAAATAAACATGAGAGCGGTATTCTCTTAGCATAGCACAAACAACTCAAGAATGACTGGCTTGATGATAAAAAATAACTCCCAATACTCCTGCTTCCACTCCCAACATCAGTTCCCTATCTTATGCGTCACCGTGTCCTCGGATGTCAAAATACAGCATGAAGGCCAGGTCATCACTCCATTTCCTCCCCAAAGTATGTTGCTGCCCGTCGGCTCCAAGGTATCCCAAGACAAGGAAATCGGATCAGACGTAATATAGGCACCGATATCCTAGCTTACGGCCAGAGCCTGCAGCTAATAGTCTCGGAGGACCCTACGCGTCCGACTGCTTCTTCGTTCCAGGCACCGAATCCAACTCCATTGCCGTCACGGACCCGTCCGGAGTCGCCTCAGGAGAGTCGCAGAGGACGACTGGCTCTTCTTCCACAGAGCCCTCGATCGTAGTAGGAACAAATGGCTTCTTCTCTCCGTCCTCGATGGGTGTGGGGTCGTGACCGCGACCAAAGTTACTCGCAGATATCCCAACCGCCGGTGTGCTACCCTCCGCAATTTTCTGCTTGGTTGCCGTGACAATCTTCTCCGTCTCGGTAACCGTGCCCGCAGCCGTAGTCGCATCGCCCTCGACGCCAATGGCACTGTCCTTGTTGTTCTGGTTCTCAAGCAGGGCTTGTTTGTCAAATCGGACAATCATGCATGAGAGGTTGTCGGTGCTGAAGCGAGACAAAGCATGATCGACCAGCTTCTTGGCCGCAATCACCGGTTCCTGGATGTCGCGCACAAGGTCGACTGCTTCCTGATCCGAGCAAACATCCCAAAGCTGTAAAGATTTATCAGTCAGTGTATTTCAAAACACAATGGGGAAAATGGACTGCAGGGCCGCTGGTATTACTTACACCATCGCAGGCAATAATCATAAACTCGTCCCATTCCGGTTGGATAACCGTCTCTGTGGTGTAAGGATGACCAGTGACGAGGTCTTTGATATAAGTATCACCAAGAGCTCTGGTGACAGCAAGGACTCCGTTTACGCGGTTATTCAGGATCAGACCTCCAGCGTTTGCTATACGCTTGCCCTCGTTCTCATCGCTGCCTTTGTGGTCATATGACAGGCGCAACGCCTTGCCAGAGCGACAGAGGACGATGCGAGCATCTCCCACATTGGCTGTATAGAGCACCCGCTGTCTTGTGGCAGAATTCTTCAACTTGGCGTGTGTAGCTTCCGGGATTGAAGAATTAGGGCTTTTCTCGGACTGCCCATCCTCCACCTTAAGAGCATCCTCAGTGGCCTTGACAACCGCGGGGGCGATAGCCTGAGAGCCGGTCGCCGACTGGTTACTCGGAACTCGGTCCTCCCAGCGCAGCACCGCGACGGCAGCTGTGCAACCACTATTCTTAAGCGGAAGCGCTTCTAGCTCGGCGTCCACAGTGGTGAAAGTTTGATCAAGGAGTTCCGGTATAGGAGCATTCGGGTTTTTCTTGATGATATCTTCAAGGATAATGTGGAGCTTCTTGCCACACCAGTCAGCAGCAAAGGTGCCAGCATGGCCATCGAATATAGCAAAGTAGCCATTGTCCGTCTCGATCATGTCTGCATTCTGGCTGGCGGGACTACTACTGCGCTTCTCATGTGATTCGTCCGCCGATTTTGATTGCTTCTGGGCCGAGCCCTCGGCGCCCAAGACAGGGGCAGGAGTATGAAGGAAGTTGTAGAGGAAAGCATGTGTGTCTTCCATAGTACGTCTGCACTTCTTGTTGCGATCCTCCCAGACACCAACCTTGAACGTGGAGCGCGGCCCGGGGAGCGATTCACCAGCGGCATTGTTGTGCTGGCCTTGAGGAACAGCAAGGGCCTGATCTTGCTTGCCGAGCTTTTGCAAGGAAGTCTGATTAGAGTTCTTGGAGTCAGTACTCATATCACCGCTGTTACGGTTCGCAACTTGAGTAAACAGAGTATTTTTGGCTTGGGCAATCAGGCTGCTGGCTCTACCGCTCACCCCACTGCTCCGCTTCTTCTTGCTATCGGACGAGCTACCAGCGCTCGGTGGACTCCCGTTGCCGGTTTGAGTGTCGCCGGCGGCGGACTGATCGGTGGACTTGATGGATTTGGGAGACGCGCCTCCGTTGCCCGGCGCCTCCTTCTCGGGGGAGGGCGACTTGCTGCTCGACCTGTCCTTTCCACTGCTGCCCGAATCTGATGCGGACCCGCTCACGGACTTGGAGGCGGCGGAGCTGGAACCGCCGCCGAACATCCTATTCAGCAGGCCTCCTTGGGAGGAGAGACTGCGACGCTTGTTGCCTGCCAGGTTGGTTGTGGGGGGTGGGTGAGGGCGCGAGGCGTTGCGAGAAGTTGGAAGTTGCCGTACAAAAGGGACGGTCTGCTGAGAAGTGCGGTCGCGAATAGGGACAGCGTCTGTATTACTCTTGAAGCAGTTGTTGGGGATTTATGCGTGTTCGTTGCGCTGTGCGATTAGAAAGTGAGGGCGTCGATGTGGTTGACAAAGAACCAAGGGAGAAGCTGAGAGTTGTTGCAGGAAGGCTGGAGTAGGTTTGATAGGTATTCGTTGAATGGAGCTGATGCGCAATGGCGGGAGATCGCGAAAGGTTGAAAGGCAGAAGGGAGGGGTCTGGTGACAGGCTGTGGTGCACCGCGCTGAGATGATGTAATGCCAGTCGAAGGGCCACTGTTCAGGGCGCTGCACAACAGTGACGGGAGCAGGAAGGTCGAAGGCGACCTTGGAGGATATTCGGGGTGGAGAGCCTGAGGTACAAGGAAGGTGAGTCCAGTTGTCCAGGGAGCCAGGCAGAGATGTGGATGACGAAAACGGCAACAGCGACAATCAACAACACCGTCGGACCAAAACTGCAAGTGCTCTGCGCTGCGTTTCGGGAGAGCAACCGCGGGAAAGAAAGTGAGGCTTAAGTCGACTGCAGTGACACCAGAATCGAGGTTTGTTCTCTGCAGCCTGAAAAGTGCGGATGGAGAGGCTTCGACTGCAATGTCGTCCGACGGGATGAAATGAGGTGGAAGTGCCCGTGTGTGTCGAGGCCCAAGCTCAAGATGCGGTGTTGACTCGCGCCTGCTGATCTGCGACCGCCGTACAAGCTCCTGCGCAGGGCATCCACTTCAGGGTGCCCGCCTGACAACATAAAGTGGATGCTTCAGGTCCATCAGGTTCCAGTTCCGCCTTCCATCAGAGGGCTCGACCTGAAGGGACCCTGAGGGCCTTCTGAAATCGGGGACCTTACAGGCACCAGTAGGGGAAGCCTGATGTGTGACAGTGCAGCCCAAAAAGTGGAGTACTGTACAGCTTAATTCCACTTGCCATGCGCAGGTGTTTCGCAGAGCTTCACCTACCGTACAAAGCCCAGACTGAGGTGTAGAATAGCTGTACTACACTACCTTATGATGCATCTAGTCCATCTGGGCATTATAGAGAAAGGAGTAACACGTAGTGTAGGTAAAGACACCGCGGGATATTCGGGACTGCGCATCTTCTTTGTGTGTTTACAGAGCGTAATAGTACTGCGGGCGTTGGCGCCAGAAAGGCACCGAACAGTCGATGTTCCAGACCTACTTCTAGGCGCGGGGCGCTGCCGATGCGCTGCCCTGACTGCGAGGTACATTTACCAGCCAGGGTCGACCGTCTCATCTCACGCTCACTGCAACCACGAGGAAACGGGATTGTCATCGACACTTCACTTCGCAGGCATCCTGTATTGTCAAGATATTCTTGTCGATAGTACTTGATTTTACTTCGGTTCGTCAAGTTCCTCAACACTTATTATGGATCCTTCCTAGAGTCTCGATACTGCCGGCTCGTATGATAACAGCTTTTCGTACAACTATGGCAGGCCGTTGGACGCTATTCGACATAACAAAGCGGGATAGGGATGACCGTGCATGAAACTTTGCCCAACGAGCCAACCAACGAAAGAAACAACATATTCTCATGAAAATACCAGCTCACCACCAACCATTAACAGTCCAGCCAACCCAGATTACGCCTAAAACGCCCGCAGTCTTGCTGCATTCATGTGTGCTCATAGATGCCACCTCTTTGCGAGTAGGCCATATGGCCCATATCGCCCTTTCAGAGCCTCGGGTGCCCCAAAAGCCGGCAAAATTGAAGAGCCATTCCCATGCCAGAGAGAGGGACGTATAAGCCTGAGCACCTGCGTCCAAGTCCAACTCTTTGTACAGCTTCCTGTCTCAGGTCCCAAAGTTCATCTCAGGTCATTCATCGTCTCAGACTGTCCAATCTTGCCTGCAAGTCGTCGTCGCCTGGGTCGGCTCCACCACCACCACCACCACCAACTGCTTGGGCGACTTTGTTCTCCGGAACAGCCGCAACCTGTAGTCCTGATGGTGTCTCGCCCATCTGGTATAGAGCATGTTAGCAACGTGACCTTGATGCGAATACAACCGAAGAGCCTTACCGCTTGACTGAGATCTACGCCGATCTCCTCCAGCACTTGCTCTACAACCTCGTCACCCTCTTCTTCAAGACCCATGTCCATTGCATCGTCAATAGCATCATCCATCATCTCCTGTCGCTGTTCCATAATATCGTTCTCGCGCTCAAACTCCATAGCTATACGTTGCAACGAGGGCAGGTTCATTGTGCGGTTCATGCTTCCGAGGGCCATCGTCGCACCCTTCATGGCTTGCATCATCTGCTCGTTCGTGCGGTATGTCTGAGATACGGCTATCGTCAGTTGACTAATCTTGCGTATATCGGCGTGGATGTAGCCCTCACTTGTAGGCGGAGCGAGATCTTTTGGAGTTGACTCCTCATGCTGTAAAACTTCTCGATATATCGTCGTGTCCGCACCAAATCCTTGGCCTGGATCTTGCAGGCGCCCATCTGACCTTTCTGAGCGCTCTGGCGGATTTGGGAGACGAGTGTCTTTTCCTGCTTCTCTAGCTTAACGCGCTGTTGGTCCAGTTCTCGGATAGCCTTGTCGAGGAGTCGCTGGTTTTTGCGAAGACGCTCGGCGGGCGTCATACGCTTGCCGAAAGCCCATTCCAGGACCTGATCGTAGAAACATGGTGTTAGCTGTGCGCGGCCTGGATGCGCATCGACCGACGACTGGAAACTCACGTTCATGTTGCTGGCGGTGGTGGTAATTGATAGCTAAGATCTGTGGAAAGGAGCGCTGGATGGCCGATTCTGGTACCTCATCCACACCTTGCGTCGATAGAGAATGTTTGATGATCAGGTCAAGAAGTTGGCCGTCCGCAAGTCGGCCTCGGAAGGTGCTGGGACTGGGAGCAGTTGGTTTGGCAGTTGCAGTTGTTACTGTACCCTGCTGGATGATGCCAAGACCCAGACGCCAAGGTGCTCAATGCTGGAGCCTTGGTGGAGGCCGTGATGATAACGAGCCACAACCAGCCACAGAAAATGTGACCTCATCGCCGTTGATTAGCAGAGTAAAGCCACACATGCTAGGGATACCTCGGCCACGTTGTTCCCTAACAGGACTAGCGGCCAATCACCAAAGCATGAGACTGCCGACAGATGGGATTTTCGTACTCGTCAGTTAGGTTGGTGGAGTCCATAGCTAAGCCAACTGACTCTCATCATCCCTTTGAGAGTCGGATTTTTTACATATATCTTACAAGTGGTATATCTATCAAAAACCTCACTTAGCCATAACACTATCAATTTCAATCGTACGGTCTCGTAAATAGCCTCAATCTATTCGTCTTAGTTACCTCTATTGATTCATTATAGCGCATCCCAATTCTAATATTACTACGTGGGCGGAAAAGGCTATAATAATTCTTAGTTCCTCGAATTATACGCTTCTAGCGAGCGAAGTAATACTGTACAAAGATAAAACATCATCAATTTTGATTGTACAATATTATAAATAGCTCCAATCTATTCGTCTTAATTAACTCTATCGATTCATTATAGCATATTTCGATCTAAGGTTACTACGCTAGCGGAAAAGGCTACACAATATTACTTCGCCCATATTGTTACCTTTATAGTAGTCTAGGCTTTTAGCTAGTAAAATAATACTGTATAGCCTTTTCCGCCTACGTAGTAATATTAAATTTGGGATATACTATAATAGATCGATAGAAGTAATTAAAACGAATAGATTGAGGCTATTTACAATGCCGTACGATAAAAATTAATAATGTTTTACCTTTATAAGAGTTTTTAATATTCTTCAAGCTAGTGCATATTAACGCTTCTGGCGGGCTAAGGTAGGCTTCTCAATACTACAACAACACATTACGACATTTTGAAAATAATCTAGTTATATAGATGAATACGCGCTGTTGAGACCATTAGTCTGAACATTTTACCATTTATTTTGCTTGCATTTTGGTAGAAATATAGATTATTAAGGTTTTTAAAAGATATACGGGTTGCAAGTTACATGTAAAAAATCCGACTCTCAAAGGGACGATGAGAGTCGGTTGGCTGGCTGTAAGCGAGACCCCCAGAGGGTGGGCTCTACACCTAACCGACGAGTAGCGTTCAATGCTCTGCAATTCGACCTATCAATGCGGCCACTCCAAATGTCCCGCATGCCCTCATGGGCCCCCGGCCCGGGGTGTTCAGGTTTGTGAGTGGAAGGTGGAGGAGGTCGACACGGGCATGAGCGGGAACTCCTCCAATTTTTTGGATTTCTCATCCGTGACGCCCTAACCGACCTGACACTAAACAGCCCACCACCACCTCACCATCATCACCTACGAATCCGCTCAACCTCCGATCTCCCGCCCTCGATGCTCTTCTGATAAACGCCTCCCCCACGCATCCTCTCGGTCCTCCCTCGACACTGCGACAATCCATCCACGACCATGAGCCAGGATTATTTCCCCTCCAAGGGCAAGGCGCCCCAGCAACACGACGAGCACGGCGAGCCGCGCGAATTCGATGATGGCGCCGGACAACACGCGCAGGTCCCGGGAGCCCCGACCACGCCCGCGTACATGACCGTCGGCACCGGCTCGACTTCCCAACATGCTGCCCGCCTTCAGGCCATGCTCGACAACGACTCCGGCTACGGCGGCAGCATTGCCGGTGACTCAAGGGCCCCTTCCCACTGGGACTCGGCTGTGCACCACGATAGCCCGTTACCAACTCCGACCACCGCCACTCACGATGACGATGCCAACCGCCGTTCTCAGGCCGGCGCCGTACACCAGCTATGGTATAACCAGCACCGCGTCACACTAGGCCGCTCCATCAACACCGTCGTCGAGCTTCTCAAGAAGTTGCAGGAGATGAACGTGACATGGCCTGCGCATTATCCCTCCGTCCAGCGGGCTGCTCTCGATGAGCCCAACCACTATGGCCCACCGGGTCTGCATCGCTCTTCGACCATGGGCGCAGACGCCGCGTTCCCTCCGCCGCCATCCCCCCACTCACTACGAAGATCCATGACAACTCTGGACGACCACGTCGAGCCCGAATCCAGCCGGGCTGCTGAGAGGAGGAACACCGGTTCGGAACCTCGACTAGTTTCCCCACAGATTGCCCAAGAGTTTTCCGTCCTCAAGTTGGATCTTAATCTGGGTTCTCTACACCAGGCCGACCTCGTACATTCGCTGCAGAAGGAGTCAGTGGCTTCTTTGCTCGATGGTAAAATTCGCTCCAGCATCAAACATCTTTACTCGCTGCGCGAGAGAATTGAAGATACTTCGAGCAAGGTTTTGGTCACTGGTGATCTGAATGCGGGAAAGTCTACCTTCTGCAATGCCTTGCTCCGTCGGAAGGTCCTGCCTGAAGACCAACAACCCTGCACGAGTATCTTCTGCGAGGTCCTGGACGCGAGGGAAAACGGCGGAATTGAAGAGGTCCACGCAGTTCACAGGGATGCAATCTACGATCGTCACGATGAGGCCACCTACGACGTCTATTCCCTGAAGGAGCTGGAGAAAATTGTCACCGATAACGAGTCCTACCAACAATGCAAAATCTACATCCGGGATGCGCGAACTATTGACGAGTCTCTCCTGAACAACGGTGTTGTCGACATTGCGCTCATTGACGCCCCCGGTTTGAACATGGACACCACCAAGACCACGGCCATTTTTGCGCGACAGGAGGAGATCGACGTTGTCGTTTTCGTTGTTTCCGCTACTAACCACTTCACGCAAACGGCGACCGAGTTCATTAGGGCCGCTGCTGCTGAAAAGGCCTACCTCTTCATCGTCGTCAACGGCTTCGACACCATTAGAGATAAGGAGCGTTGCCAGAAGCTCATCCTTAACCAAGTTAGGGGTCTGAGCCCTGCGACGCACAAAGAGGCGGATGAGCTGGTACACTTCGTCTCCAGTACTGCGATTCCCATGGCCCCATCGCCGCCTGGTGGTTCTTACGGAGGTGGATCGGGCAGCGCAAGCGGTGGCGGTGGAGGGGATGATGGCGACGATGATGATCCTAAGGGCAAGGGCAAGAAGAAGGAGATGGCCCGGGACTTCTCGAACCTTGAACAGTCTTTGCGGAGATTCGTCTTAGAGAAGCGGGCTCGCTCAAAGTTGGCACCGGCCAAGACCTATCTTACCAACATTCTGAACGACGTCCACGTACTTGCTACTGTCAACCAGGAAGTTGCCCAGTCAGAGTTCGACCGGATGAATCAGGAACTGCAGAAGCTTGAGCCAGAACTTGAGCGGAGCAAGCAGGCCAAGCAGGAGATCAATGAGAAGGTTGACCAGACGATCGAGGAGACCTGCCAGGAGATTTACGAATATTCGCGTAACACGATTAGCAGCTCGATCGAACGCGCCGGTGATGGCAACTTCGGAATCCCCTATCCTGGTCTCTTCAGTGCGTTCGAGTATGCCGAGGAGCTCAAGGAGGCTATGCTTTCGCAGATTGCTGCCTCGGTCACTCAGTGTGAGGAACACGCGAGAGCCAGGACCGTTGACGGTGTCAACATGATCAAGCAGCTCGGAATCATGCACCTAGGAAACGAGTACACCGATCTGGCCTTCCGCCCGGATGTTATGTTCCGCCGCAAGAAGGATGCTCTTGCGCGCCAAGTCGACATTCCCACCGAGCTGTGGGACTTTGTCGACTGGAGTACTGTGCTTCAAAAGGAGGAGAAGGCCGGCATGGCACTTACCGTTGCCGGTGTCGTTGGCACAAGCGTGCTCAGCGGTTACAGCCAGATGAACCTTGCTCTCCGTGCAGCCCAGATCCTAGGAACCAACAACGTTGGCCGCCTCATTATTCCTGGCTTGATTGCGGCCGGTAAGTCTAGATACTCTTGACCAGTTTTCTTGTGAACATGTGCTGACTTGACTCGCTTACAGCCGTGGCAGCGACGTACTACGTCCTGAACCAGATTCCTCACTCTCTTCCGCACCGCCTGAAGGAGAAGATCTCCACTCAGCTCGCCGCCATCGACTATGTCCACTCGAATAGCACCCGTATCTCCGGTTCGGTGCGGAAGGTCCTCCGTTTCCCGGCCGACTCCCTCCGCGTTGGCCTTCAGCGTTCCGTAGAGAAGCTTGACGGTCGCCGTAACGAAACTCTGCGCGTCAAGGCTGAGAGCGACGTTGCGCTCAAGTACTTCGCCAATCTCGTCCGCGAAAGCGGTCATCAACGTCGGGTTGTCGAAGCTGTCGATCTCGATGGCCATCCTCCTGGTCTTGCTGGCATTGGAGGTTTCCACTAGACGGCCTGGGTTGGAAGGCATTCTCCGCTTTAGTTGGCTTTTCTTTGTTATAGTCGGCGTTATTGGTGCCTGTTGTGAGAAAAACACAGATTATCATCATACCCCTTGTTTTGAGCACACACACATAGATCGCCTGTATGAGACAGGAAGGGGAGGTTAAAATTGCAAGCGTATGTATTACGAGCTCATGAGTTGACGGAGAAAATGCCGAGGCAAGCATAGTTGATGAAGTGATTTTCACTCTTGAGACGTAAATCGGAGGATGGTGGGTTGCTTGGTTAGTGTTACCAATTGTGCAATGAGACTCAGCTCCTTGATTCTCGAGTCACCTACCGCTTATACGTTTCCTCTCCCCTAGTTTTGGTTATTAACGTCTAAAATGGGGCGTACGCAGCAACAGGAGGGCAAAAAATGTCGAAATTGAAGTTGTACGATATAGAACAAGTGGAACGCTGCACATAAAATGCCCAATGTTGATCCTCGGTGCTGACTAAACATAACCTCTAAAGCATAACATATCGCAGATGACTCTATCCGCAGCGGATCTCTCGGTTTCACCTCAGACCACCCATAAAGCCAGACACTCGCATAAAACTGATTATATCCCTCCTCTTTCACTCACTCCCGTATCTACCACCTCTCACCTCTCACCATCACCACAATACCCATCCACCCATCACCTCAATCCCTTAAAATGGCCTCCCCAACAAAAATCAAACTAGCGGCCGCCCACTCCGCCCCCATCTACATGTCCAAATCCGCCACCCTCGCCAAAGCCATCAACCTCATCCACGCCGCCGCGCGCGACGGCGTTTCGTTGCTTGTCTTTCCCGAGACCTACGTCCCCGGCTACCCTTACTTCATCGAGTGCTACCCGCCGCTGAAACAAGTCGTTGCTCTGGCCAAGTATGCCGAGGAGTCCGTCGTCGTCGATGAAGATCTTGATGGGGTGGCGGAAGCCTGTAGGCAAACGGGCGTGTCGGTTGTGCTGGGTGTGTCGGAGCGGATGAAGGGTGGCTATACGTGTTTCAATTCGCAGGTGTTTATTGCGGGCGGGAGGGAAGGAGGGGGGGTGGTGGGAACGCATAGGAAGTTGCAGCCTACCTATGTGGAACGGGTTGTGTGGGCGCAGGGGGATGGGTCGACGCTCAAAACTTGGGATGGGCTTTTGCTAGGTGCAGGTGGTTCTGAAGCGGAAGGAAAGGAGAACAAGAACAAGAAGTGGAACGTAGGCGGCCTAGCCTGCTGGGAACACACCATGCTCCTCGCCCGCCAGGCCCTGATCACCCAGCAGGAACACGTGCATGCGGCCGCGTGGCCGGCGCTGTCGACGATGGCTGGGTTCGAGGGGAGTGCGGACAGCCAGATCGAGGCGCTGATGAAGTGCCATGCGCTGACGGCGCAGTGTTTCGTGGTGGCGGCGAGCAACTATGTGGATGAGGCGTGTCTGGAGTGGATGAGGGAGAATATTGGGGAGCAAGAGTTTGTGAAAAGGGGAGGAGGGTGGTCGGCGGTTATTCACCCGTTTTGTAACGTGTTGGCGGGACCGGTTACTGGGGAGAAGGAGGAGCTGGTCACGGCGGAGGTGGACTTGAAGGATTTGGGAATGGTTAAGGTTTGGGTGGATGCTGATGGGCATTATGCTCGGCCGGAGATTATGCCGTTTGGGTGGGATAAGGAGGCGTATTGGAGGGATGGGAAGGTGGAGGGGGAGGCTGGGAAGGGTCAGTCTCAGCTGAGGAAGCCTGAAGGAAAGGGGGGAAAGGAAGCCAAGAAGGCGTAACGGGTTGAAAACAGAAAAGGCGAAGTCGAATATTATGGGATGGGTAGTTGGAAAGGAAAATAATATCGGGATATACATAGTCACGGTGAGTTGGTAAGAGATTATCAATAGACTTTGTTTCCCAAGACATAGTCGTTATTCATGTCTCATTATCAAGCCCAAACTCCCTAGGCGCTCGCTATCATGTTCCTTCCGATACCACTTCACATATAACCATCATGCAGACCACATCAAACCCCTGAGCCTCTCCTTCTCTTCATCTCCTCCAAAGATGACATCTACCCCCCTTCTCACAAGCGAGCAGATATCGGTTCTGGTAAGCCCAAAGTGTTTGGCCACGAGGGCGTATTCGTTGGAAAGGGGGCTGCCAAAGACACCAACATCATCGGTCTGAATGTTGTGTTAGCTGTAATCCTCTTGCCTGGATAGTATCTTGCGGTCTCCAACCGGCCTTGATGTCCGGAGACCGTCGCAAACAGACCCAAGAGCAGAAAGGGGAATATATGAGATGAGACTTACACTCAAAACAACAACCGTCTCCTCAACCTTCCACCACTCCCCAAAATGACTATTCACGCACAAGGTCAGTAACTCAATCATCACTTCCCACACCCACCCAACATCTCCATCTCCTCCAAAAAAAAAAAAAACTTACTGGCTCTCAAACCCCCCACAAATCATGCCCGCATGGACATTACAACTCAAGCACAACTCCAACCCCATCCCTCCCCTCCTCTTCACCTCCTCCCTGATTTTTTCGTTTAAATGAATCACATGCCCAATCCGATCCGGCCTCCAGCTCAGCAACGTCAACAGCTCCTCCTCCGTCCCCGACGCCTCCGCCTCGGCAAAGTGCAGCGTTATCCCCAAGTTTGGTAGGGTCCGCTTCGCCTCCTCAAAGACCGGACCAAAAATGTCAATGGGCCCCCTTGCAGGGTCGCCGCACAGGTCGATGCCTACCACCCCACCTTGCCCGGCAAACTGGCGGCAGAGGGCGAGGACTTCGTAGGCTTCGGGGAGGGTGTTGCGCCGGTCGATGGAGAGGATCAGTTTTGTTTTTAGCTGGGAAGTGTTGTTGGGGTCACTTTCGAACTCGGTGATGGCGGAGAGAATGGTTGCAACGTATTGGGCCTTGGTCAGTCCGGCCTGAGGCATGGCGCGCGGAGTGGTGCGTAGCTCGAGGTAGACGACGCCATCGGCAGCGAAGTCCGAGAGGACGGAGAGGGTGGTGTGGCGGAGGGCCCAGATGTCGGAGACGAGGTGGTAGATGTAGGAGGAGAAGAGGGGGAAGAAGCTGGTGTTGTTGGTATGTAAGTATGTGGTGGTCTTTTTTTTTGTGTTTTGGGGTTTCTTGTCTTGAATTCCATCTCGTCTGAACTTGGTAATGGGTGTTTGATGGAGGGAAGTTAGGTTTGATAGACGTCGGCAATCATCTACTCCCAAAGGCATAAAGAAGAACAAGAAACAAGAACAGGACCGGCCCGTCCCCTCGGGTCCCGGCTTAACTTTCCAGCCCACATACCGGTACGTGGATAATCCTACACGGCACGGCCCGCTTGGGCATATCCGCCTCTTCTTGAATGCCGGAGTATGTAGAGAGGTGATCGGATGAGAAGGGAGGCAACAACGCAGTCAATCCCAGCGAAACTTACGTTTTCAAGTCATAATCATGTTTACCCAATGGCATCTTAATCAAGGGGTCTTGAAGGTCCGTTTCGCCATTTTCCTTCTTTTTCAGCCAGACTTCGTGGAGACACTGGCGACTGATGCTGCCGCTGAGATGGGCATGGAGCTGTTTGGTTCAGAATGTATTGTCAGTTGAGATCCTGATTCTTCAACCCCAAGAACATCATATTTGTGTGCTAATGGTGCGCTGATTTTCCCGCGAGTGTTCTTGGTTGATTACCTCAATCTTGGGCAACGCCTTGTAATCCACAGCATCGACTGTCATGATGAATTCGTATTCTGCCAGAATGTCTTTGCTGGTGTTGTCGTTTGGATCGTGGAGCCGAGGCTGACTACTTCGCACTCGCTTGAAGTTATCACCAAGTGGCAAGCGCGGGGTATGTACGCACTAGTACGGAGCCAACCGGCGTCGGAGTGTTCTCCGTAGACGTTTAGGTGGTGTCAATTGTGCAATCCATCCGTAGCGCCGGGACTTTGGACGGCGCCGTGGATAAGCGGGTGGGGATGCCGACCAGCGCCGCCGATTCTCTGAGGGCTCGCCTCGCTCCCCCGGGCTGTACTACCATGCCGGCGTAACTTGTCCCACCAACCTGTGGTTTAGAGCTATCAGACAGCTCGAAATACACTGTCGGGTATTCCGAACACATTTGCACCATTGGAAGCCATACTGCTGAAGCAAATGTGTTTCCAGGACTTTGGGACCCATTCCTAGCTTGTTACATGTCGAAGAAATACCACCTTCCCTCTCCCCTCCTGTCTTGTGTTGGTGGACGTTTTACTTTACAGCACCTAGGATTTCGACCTGCATCCGGATGGGTCAGGGTCTTATAGGCTGCAGTGGGCCGATCTGTAACAACGGGAGCATTTGTCCTTGAAAACAATGATGGTCTGTTTCATTCCCTGGTGATTTCTGGATACCCCTTTCTCATGGCTCCTCAGAGCAAAGTTGTACATTGAGATGGAAGAGTTTCGCGCTTTTTCTCAATCTGTGGCTGCTGCCGAGGTGCAGTGCCTCCAACTTCAAGTGTGCATATTGGCGAGCTTGGCTTCATCCCGATACGGAGTCTTTATCAATCTCTCTTGCCGCCATGATTGACTAACACCTCGACGGACAATCGGCCTCAGAATATGTGCTTTTCCAGACGCAACAGTAATGCCAACAGATAGGGCAAGTTGCTCGTTACGCATCATTGCAAAAGAGCAAACGGGCCGCCAGTTTACTCATTGGTAGGCGCCCCGGAAATCAGTGATAAAAAAGTCTGTAATAAGCGAGCTGCTAGAGATGACAGAGCGTCGCCACCATTGCTACCGTTGCACTCCAATATCCTGGGCTATCATGGGCTTTCGAGAACCTAAAGTGGAAGCTGACGAAGACGGCAAGACTGATGATTTCGGTGTTCTCGTCAGTGATTTAATGATTGACTATGCCAGTAGACTATTCAGTGCCTTTGTACGGACATGGCATGCGCAAACCGCATGCCCGTGTCTTGGGAAGGGCCGGGTTTATTGTTTCTATCCACAAGTTTTCGGCCCCCCGTCAACATTCTTGAGCTCTGCTGTGCTCCATAGTTAGGGCCAAGAACAGTAGGGATTGGAACCAAGGCATCTCCGGCTAATCGAAGTTGCAGATGGCTATCTCAACTCGTCAAGGAGGCGTGTTTTAAGAATCCCAGCGAGAAGTTGATCCGTCATCCAAGCTGGGCGTGCTGGGTTTCGGTAACAGGGCCCCAAGGGGCCACAGGGGTTGTCGAGCTGTATCGGTCCTACGGTCTCGTATGGCGCCGCACTATGGGAGACGTTTTCCTGAGCAGCCGAGTTTTGAGACGCCGTGATTCCGAAACTTGATGCTTCATAGTAAGTACGTATATTCATAGCCACCTCAGCGACCAACCCATGTGTAGAAGTTGGGGGCGGTTGGGGTTTATATCTGTGACCTCAAGACAGCTGGGTCGTGTGGGAGCTTGCTGCCGTTTGGCTACATTTCTGCTTGCCAGCAACATGTTTGCACTTTGCAGCGCTCGTGATATTAAATTCGGTAGTATTCCGCCACTCGGGTTGCTGTATTCCGACCGTTGATTGTCCTGTGGATTTATACTGGTTGACAAGGAGACAGCCGTATCCAATATCACTGGAGCATCCGTTCCTGCGTCCAGGTTCCATCATCGGCACGTCGGCCGTTAGCAAACGGGCTGTCATCCAAAGAGATCACCAATACAGCTACAATACAATACTGGTTTGTTTGTTAGTTTGGTTCTTCGGCCATGGGTTGAACAGGGGAGAATTGGAGCTCTCATTGGCCTCCTCAGAGAGTTCGTTTGAAGCGACTGACAATGACCAGGGCTTAATACGCCACAGAAGCCTCTTTTATGCCTCTCTCCGTCTCCTTCAAGATCCAAAAGACTGAAAATATCAGTCTACAGCACCTATCCGCTGGAAAGCCGAACGCTTTCCTATATCCAGCAAAGCGCTGGCTTTTTTGTACCAAACTAACAAACAAACCAGGAGTATATTGTACAATGCGGTTCGGTCTCTCTGGAGGAATGGTTCACGCCAGACCTCTTGCCCACTCCTAGATAGTGACCTCGGGCCTCGGCCATCTTATTATCGTTAATCAGTTCCCGCCAGGTAATAGACTGCCAAACAACCGAGCTAGAGTGAATAAACTCTTCGCCGGAGCTCTGTACGTACACTATTTGTACGGCCCCAGGCTGTCTCGATGGATTTGTGTGCCGTGCACACATCTGTGCTTGTCGCCCTGCATATCGAATTTCGGGACCAAAAAGGGAGAGGGCGGCGGGCGAGAGGAGTGGGAGACAGAGTGGATGGCTTGAAAGAAAGCTGCCGGGGCTGCTCAACTGAGAGACTTCATGCGCTATCAGAGACAAAGTCCTTGTTCATAGCTGTTTCGCCTAGAGATACTGACAAGCTAGCTGTTAGCGCACAAGATGAGCTAACCGCAAATTGGCCCGCTGACTACTGAATAGCTTCAGTCCTATTTGGGCATGGCCGGTCGCGCCATAACGCTGCAGACAGGAGGGCTTGTCCTTGTCCCCAGACCCGGTCGGTTGGAGCCTCCTTTTCTCTTCCTGGCAGGTTGCCCCTGGTGCCTTGCGCCTTCGCTTTTGCACAGGGTGCTGTTGCTTGTCACTGTTTGATGGGACTTGAAAATGTCTTGGAGGTCGACAGCTCGCCGGATTACCAATGCTGTTGATATCAAGTTCGTGGTGTTCCGTTAGGCAAGCCGTTATCCGACCAGGACAATTTCAGCGTGGCCGTGGTGGTCTTGTGTAGGTTTACTAATCAGCGCGACTTCATGATACTACCGTGCGAGCGAGCTGTGCAAGATTGTGAAGTTGAAAAGTCAAAAGAGTTCAATTGCGCGAGCGAACCAAACATTTGCGACCCAGAAGTCCATCCGGTGGAGCCAGTCCGTGCACATGCATCTTTGTGGACCGTCTATCTATCCGCGCAGAGTGCAATTGGTCCGCGGGGCCTTGCAGTGTCCGCCCGCTTGCACCTCCCAAGACTCCTTCCATTCATGATCCCGCGGAAAGCAGAAGCCCACAACGAACCCACAGTCTCTTGGAAGTCCCGTCGCCGGCGGGAGATTCTTTGCATCCACTCTGCGAGAAAACAACCACGGGGGAGGAGCTGCACCCGAGGGACGGGGCGCAACGGGGCGCAACGGGGCGCAACGGGGCTTTCAATTTCAGAGATCCATAACTCCGGTGCCTTCGGCCAGGCTTGTTGAAGATTTTGGCAAGATTTTGTTCGTTTTTTTTTTTTTTTTTGCGGTGCGGTGCGGTGCGAGATGTTGATGTTCGGAATCAGGAGGTCGAAATAATTACCCCGGCTTCAAGGTTCCAAGAGGTGGCCGTGCAAAGTAGTACCTGAACGAACTTGTTAGACAAGCTTGAACCTACTCAGAGCTGAGCTCTATTTCCCCGTCAAGTCGCCTCGCAGCTCGCTCCAACTCAAATCCCTTCACTCCCTTCTCACAAATCCCAATCCATCATCCAAGCCCTTCGGCCCGCCATCCAGCCCGCCGTTCGCTGACCGGGCTCTCCTGTGTTTTTATACTCGCTCCATTTTGGGAGGTTTGCTGCACGAGACTGAATGGACACCAACGACAACCTAACAAACTGAATCTATTCCTCTTTGGTTGCACACCACAACCTCAATCTGCACTCGCTTCTGACAATTGCGCCCGGCGCTCTTCCACTTTTGCACAGAGAACGATTGACACGGCCTGCAGCTGCGTGTCCCTCATCCTGTCCACGTCCTGCGGGCAACCTTCCATTTCCACCTGCCCCCCAAGCGTAGTAGACCCACTGCAGTGTAGGCCCCAGTGTGAGGTTCCACTCTGCCCCGACCGGGCCCATTCTCCCCCCGGCCCATTCCCAATCTGGCACAGGGTAATAATCGCAACTCTGGCCGGCCTCTCGTTCGTCAGTTCGACTCGGCCGCCCACCCACTCGCAGAACCGAAATCGATCCCCAGTCCTTCTTTTCTCCTTCTTTCTGTTCTTCACCACCCGAACTCCTGTCGATTAATGACAGCCTCCAACCTGCTCCTACGACCTGACAACTACTCGCGTCGGTCGCGTCGCTCGAGACTCTTCGTCCTTATACACTACTCTCTCGACGCCGCGCACACCTGCCTTTAGTCTCGGTTGTCAGGGTCGCTCTTCGCCTGGTCAATATCCGCCATCCGCTCATTCGTTCGACACTCGCAGAAGAAAGAGGCCTTTCCCCCTCAATTACTCTCCACCACTCTCCTCCGTCTTTTTCCCGACAGCAGTCATTTCGTTCAGAGCAGCATCGGGACCTGCCTCGCCTGTCTAGCTGTTTTAACTGGCCAACACCGTACCGCATCGCCCGACCCCTGGAGCTAGCAATTCCTCCTCCACCGGCGCCCCGTACCAGCACCACTGCTTTGCACCATTCACACCATCCACACTCCAGCAACCGATTCCGACTTGCTGCATCGCTGAAGATCCGACGTCCCAAGAGTCCAACCTTAGTCGTCGTCATTTTACCTGTCCCATCCAGTCACAACAACATCACTACGGACTAGTCCGTCCCTCATACGAGTCCGTCGCCAATTGTGATTACGAATTGAACCAACACACCTCAAAAAAAGATGGACAACCGATCAAGCGATGTGTCGCCAGAGGCGATGCAGGCACGAATTCAACAAGCGCGTCGCGAGGCTGAAAATCTCAAGGACAAAATCAGGCTGAAGAAGGAAGGGCTCGCCGATACTTCCCGTGAGTCGTCCTGTCGCCAGGTCGCGAATTGCGCCTTTGTCCGCCCATGCCGTCGTCAACGGCGGATTGACCGCTGCATAGTGTTGCTGACATGATGTGTAGTCTACGAGGTTGCGCAACAGGCCCATGAGCCACTTCCGAAGAACAACATGATGAGGACAAAGAAGACGTTGAAGGGCCATCTGGCCAAGATTTATGCGATGCACTGGTCTACCGACCGGAGGCACCTTGTCTCAGCATCTCAGGACGGCAAGCTCATCATCTGGGACGCTTACACGACCAACAAAGTTCACGCCATTCCCCTACGATCGTCTTGGGTTATGACTTGCGCCTATGCCCCGAGCGGCAACTTCGTTGCCTGCGGTGGTCTCGACAACATTTGCTCTATTTACAACCTGAACTCGAACCGTGACGGCCCTACTCGTGTCTACCGGGAGCTTTCAGGCCATGCGGGCTATCTCTCTTGCTGCCGTTTTATCAACGACCGCAGCATCCTCACCTCCTCCGGCGATATGACATGCATGAAGTGGGATATCGAGACAGGAACAAAGGTCGTTGAGTTTGCCGACCATTTGGGCGACGTCATGAGCATCAGCTTGAACCCCACAAACCAGAACACCTTTGTGTCGGGTGCTTGCGATTCTTTCGCTAAGCTTTGGGATATTCGCGCCGGCAAGGCCGTACAAACATTCGCTGGCCACGAGTCCGATATCAACGCCATCCAGTTTTTCCCCGATGGTCACTCTTTCGTAACGGGTTCCGACGACGCTACTTGCAGACTTTTCGATATCCGCGCAGACAGAGAGTTGAACTGCTATCGCGTGAGTAACCTGTGGATTATTTTTCTATCGTTTTTTTGGAGCTAACGTTTGGGTAGTCCGAATCTATTCTTTGCGGCATTACCTCCGTCGCGACATCAGTCTCTGGACGTTTGCTCTTTGCCGGTTACGATGACTTTGAATGCAAAGTCTGGGATCTTACTCGCGCTGAAAAGGTTGGCTCTCTCGTGGGTCACGAAAATCGTGTCAGCTGTTTGGGCGTTTCCAACGATGGAATAAGTTTGTGCACAGGCTCTTGGGACTCTTTGGTAAGTATCCACCGGCAACATCAGATCGATATGGTAAAGGCCGCAGATTAAACTAACTCCCTCACAGCTCAAGGTCTGGGCCTACTAGGCGCATGTGTGATACTGATACGACCGGCACCCTCTGGATACCCGACCTCGACGCGTCACTTTGCAAAGCCTATCGAGTGCTTTTTTCTATTTGTTCTATTTCAACCTGGTAACGCCTCTTAATCCTTGCGATCTGGCATAGACAGGACGAAGTCACGACATATTTTTCCACCCAACAATCTCGGCTCCCCGGGCTTGGACCACCATCAACTGGCCTTGCTCCCCGGTTGGAACTCTTTTTAGTTTCTATGGCGGTTTTTCCGACACTACACTCGATTTGCTGCGCCATATTTTCGGCGGGTTTTGTTCGTAAGGTGGGCGGCAGCGATATCCTAAACTTGTTCAGCTCTCCGTACGCCAACCCGCCTCGCCCCTCCAGAAAACGTCCCCCCGGATAATATGATCCGACACGTTCATCAACTTCGGGTCGCGTAATTCCCCGGGCACTATTACAGGGACGTCTGTACCGGGTCTCTTGGACCCGGTTTGGCTGGAGCAGAATGTCCAACGAACCATCAAAGTCTGGCTCGACGGGTTGTGTCATATCCCACAGGAGCGGTTGCCAGTGTCTCTCACAGGGGTTGTGTCTTAAAGCAGTTTACCGGATACCCTCTCTATACGTATTTATCCACAACTTTGCGCGCATTTTCTCAGCGTTTGGTCTTTCTCCAGTCTATTACCGGTGGGGTGGGGGGAAACCGTCAGGGTGTCTATTTTCACGTGTGTTGATGAAGTAGGCCGGGAATGCAAAACGGTCCCTTTGTCTTGTGTTTTTCGCGAGAAGGAGGAGGGGATCGGCTCACGAGTGGCGACGGTAAACAGCAGTTGCGGTAAAGGCTTTGGGGGGCACCATATCCTTTTTCTATTTCCTCGATTTTTCATTAGGCAAAGGGTGTATCGTGGGGATTTTTTTCTTATTCTCTTATCTCTTTTTCTTCATCTGCCCTCTTGCTCTCTCTCCTTACCTCGCTCTTCTGCTACCTAGTACCCTTATGGCGGTTGTTCCTTTCACTGATGGTTAATGGTGGATATGTTATTGCCTGGATGAGGTGGTAGGGAAAAAAGTGCAGGAAAGGAGGGAGATGCGATTGGGCGTTTTAAATATTTTTCAAGCGTTACTCCCGAGCCCTGATCTGCCCTGCCTGTGTACTATAGTCGCACTGAATGCTAAATTCATTCCATGAATCTGTTCTCCTCGCTTGTATGCGTTAAGTGTACGTGAAGTTGGTCCCCAAAGCTTGGCCAATGTGTCTATTAGTCTAGTTATGCTTTGTCCGGGAGTGAGCGTGACTGTCACCGGTTTATGACTTTCGTCGGCAAGCCTAGACTAACGGGAAGTCCGGATTCATTATGGTAGACAATGCAAAAGACGCGAGACTTGCTCGCGGAGACGTAGAAGATAACACATGGTAAGTCAGGCCCTACCTAGTTACAAGTGCCATCAAAGTTCAGTTCACTGATGTAAGGCGTCTACCCACCATGTGGTTTCTCCTGTGTTCATTACCTTTGGGATTCTCGCATGCAGAAGCTATCGAGGTCATCCAAGCTCGTACAGACAAACTGGATATGCAGAACAGATGGCCACTCTGATAATGATGTTCAAACTAGAAGTTTTAAGCACTCATGTAAGAAAGAGCCCCATTGACATAGCACTCCATCTTCACAAGGCGAGGAAGTGCCACCGGAGAAAGGAAAAGCAGGACCCAAACCGTGCATCCAATCGTAGTCACCTCCGTCATCCAAGCTTCCCTTGCCATCGAAGCCTTCTAGAAGGTTTTCTACCTATAGAGATGGACCTTTCCCTCCCGCTTCCTCAGGAAGTGACCATGAATGATTAGCTTCGAAGAGCAGAAACAGCGTATAAATAAAGACAACGCAACCACGTCCCTGCTGAGTGGTCTTCTTAGTCTCCATGTTCAAGGCACCAGATACGGACACGTTCCAAACAGTCGAGTCAAGCACCATCGCTGATTGGTACCAATACACACGTCTACACAACAACGGACGAACGAGCCGTACGCGGGACGGCAGGGTGAGACTGAAACGAAGTGAAACATGCATGATATGGTAATCTTGTAGTGTAGTAGTCTCGTAGTTATGGTAGTGTCCAGTGGACCAGTACCCTTGAATGTGACGACATTTTCCCTTGCTCGGCATACGTAACTAAACTTCATCGTGAAGGAGGACCTAGACCTAATTGATGCCTGGAAAATTGACTGTGTCATGCGCGTTGCTACCGCTGTCACTTGCTGTCACTTGCTGTCACTTGCTGTCACTTGCTGTCACTTGCTGTCACTTGCTGTCACGGCGGTTAGATTAGATGGTACTTAGATGTTAATGGAGATTAGGGAGAGTTCGAAGTCTGTCCATGATTCAAGTAATCCTACCCATCCAGTTTTAAACATTGAGATGGGAATTACAGGGTCCTCCTGTCTACCTTGTCAGAGTTCAAGTGTGACATGACAAGGAGGTCGTCGTGTGGTTGATGAAGGAACAGAAAGAGACATTGAAGTATCCCGCGTCCTATGTCAAAAAGTCTAAACATAGTCAAGGCCCCTGTCGATGACAAAACTTTTTGCGTCAGATGTCATTTGTCTTTTTAACCTGCTCATTGAACCATTACTCCGGGGTCCTTCTCGCCTGGGGAAAGGGCCAAGCCCATTCACAATTTGTAGATATTCACTTTCAAAGGAGCAACCCTTGCTGCCCTGTGACGTAGGTAGGTTTCCAATCTAGGGCCCGTAAATACCCGCTTTATACTAGGTAATTGTTCTCGGGCAGTCACAAACGTTGACAAGGAGCTCGAGTACTGTAATCATTCCCAGTTTCTGCTCTTTCTGGTGATGACTTGAAGTCAGATCAGAAATCTCCATCACGGCAACCAAGGACGCGCTCGAGGGTGAACTCTGTATTTTTCCGCGTCTCGTCAAGAAGGGGAGGGCCCTGGAAATTCTTCGGAACTCGGGCGCAATGAGGCCTCAAACCCAATACTTCCGGTCGGCACTTGATATTGGAACAATCCGGACCATCACAGATTCCAATCGCCAGGAACCTTATTTTCTTTCTTTTCTTTTCCGTGACGCCAGAAACGGCGACCTGAATGATCCCTGCCCCGTCCTTGCATCAGTATTGCGTATTTTAATCCCAGTCAACCACGCGACCAGGTCTGGGCGTGCAGCAGCCAGTGTGTCAGCCAAGGCACAACGGCTGGGGCACTTCACTCTAATTCGCCAAAACAGCCCCTCCTTCACGCTGGATCAGGGGACCACAACAAACTCCCGTCCATCCCCATCCATTTTGCCGACCACCTCCCGCCTTCTCAAACCGAAGTCTCCGATCTTTCACTTTTGCCGCCGTGCTCCAGCTTTGTCTCTAACAGCTTTGCCGTCATTTACCAGTCTTCGAAACTTCGCCTTCCACTGGAGAAAAAAGGTACGTGAGGAACAACCGGCTTTTTCTGGAATCTCGTCAGGGGTAAACTCATCATCAGCCCGTGCCTCCTGGTCCCTTCGCCCCCTTTAATGTCCCATCTTACAACCCCAAGTTCAGTATCAAGTCATGCCCTATACCTGGGTACCTGTTCCTGGGCTATATCAGTCTTCTACTGAACAAGTTTCATCTCTCTCATTGCCCCCACTGGAATCCACATCCAAGGTGTGAAACTACGTATCTGACACATTCCCCAGGGAGACAACGGCACCGCTTCCCCCATTCCGGCCGCATTACACTCACTAGTGTCGCCGCCCCAAGAAATCAACCGGCCATCACCTATTTTGGCGTCACGGCGTCACTGCGTCTGCGTCTCGCCTATCCTAGCCCTGAAGCAGGTCCTCGGAACGTCCGATCGACGTCGTCACTCCTTTCTAGACGCTAGCTTGGTGTTTCGTTCTCCTCCGCGAACCGAACCGACCCGGTCGTGGCTTACGTCTTTCTCCTCTTTTACTTGCTCAAACCAGGGCCGTAGACCGTACCCGATCTGAAAGAGACAAGGCCAAGGCAAAAAGTCACCTCAGACTAGTTCTTTGAAGCGAATCGGTACTGCCGAGGCACTTCCTCATCCTCTGTTCTATTCTTACGAAGTCTACCACCCTACCTGAGGCGGAGTTACCGTTCTTCCCTTCACACGGGCGCCTAGCAGTCAAGGTTCGGGTCCTAGGTACCGTCCTCGGGAGTCCCTTCATTATAACCCTACCACGCGAGTCCGCCTTTCGAGAAGCACTCGTTGTTCGGCTACCCCAGTCTTCCAACCAACGATTCATTCAACCCCGTGCTGTCTTTGTCCCAGGTTCCCCCCAGTCCCAATCATAAAGACCTGTCACCCTTCAAGACGGACCTTCTCCCCCCTTCTTTCACAATGTCAGATCAAACCCCAGCCCAAGAAGAGTTCGCCTCTTTCCTAGCCAAGAACTCCTCGACCAAGTACAGCTCTCACCCAGAAGACCGAGACGACTACCACGACTCCAAGGCGTTCCACTCGGACGACCAAGCAGACAGCGAGGACGAAGACGAAGAAGACCGCTTCCGCAACGCCCAGATCGAAGCAGCCATGCGCATGCCCACCATGGACTCGCGGACCGAGATCCGGCTGCCGCCGGCCGGGTTCGACGCCGGCGCCTCCACGGGCGTCAAGGGCGTGATCGCGGACGCCCGAGCCTACGAGACCGCCAAGCGCAGCGCCAAGTGGAAGGACAGGGTGCGCAACGCGCGGAGGAGCGTGTTTGGCGGCGGCGGTGACGCATCTCCACAACAGAACAGCAGCAGCGGGCTGGACAGCGATTTCGGGAGCGATGCGGGACTGGATAGCATGGATGAGGACGAGAAGGAGTTTCTGGATAAGTGGAGGGAGAGTAGGCGGCGCGAGCTGGAGAAGAGCAGCATGAACCCGGCGTCGAGACAGAGGAGGACGAGCCCCAGCTCGAGGCAGTTTGGCCGGCTGGATAATGTGGATGCGATGGGATACTTGGATGCCATTGAGAAGGTTGGGCCGGAGACGGCGGTGGTGGTGTTTGTTTATGACCATGAGGTTTGTTTCCTCTCTCTCTTTCTCCGTTCACCCCTTAGACATAATCATGTTACTGACCATCTTCGCCCTTTTAGTGCCCCGTCTCAGCAGCAATCGAGATTGCTCTCCGACCAATCGTCCACTCCCACCCCGCCATCCATTTCGTCAAGGTTCACTACGCCGAGATTGAGTTCGACAACGCGGCCGTCCCGTCCATCCTGGCGTACCGCAACCAGGGAGACCTCTTTGCGAATCTCACGGGGCTGATCGAGATGATTCCGGACGACGAGGATTTCGACAGCGACACACTCAAGCGGCTTTTCGAGAGGCACGGCATATTACGGAGCCAAAGGGGAGAGCCTGCCGGATGGTAATAATGCTGCTGCTGGATTTCCCAGTCAGTCAGTCAGTGATGTCCTCCGGACCTTGGTCGGCGCTGTTTTGTCTTTAACAAGGAAGACAGAAAAGCACACTGCTTGTGCTGAGATTGCGTGCTTTTGTGTCCCAAATGACACTGGCAAGCACGGCAGGTTATGTCCTGGTTCTTTGTTCTGCCGCGGCATGCATAGTGGTCCAGAAGGCAGGTTGGCATACCTACCTAGGCAGCTCTATGCATACATCAGGCTTGGACTGCTGAACGGTTTCGCCCAGCTGGACTTCCGGCGCGAGCTATCGGTAGATATTACATGACTTTGGGCTTTGGTAACAGTGCGCTCAGCTCATGCCCTGGAGGTGTGATTGAAGCAGGCAGACGGCTCACGGAGGGGTACGGATTACGGATACATGGTGTTTATAATGGGGAAGAGCCACCCGCGAAATGCTAGGCTGAAATGATGGTTATGTCTAGTGTAGAGATATCATAATCTTCTGGTTTTTGTTTTACTGGTTGCTGTATTGATATGTATACTCAAAGTTGTACGCTTTATGTAGATATTTGCAACCCAGGCCTTGGAGGCTGTATCTGTGCCAATACTGCAAGTTATCGCTTCGAATGTGAAGTTGTTCTTGGTGTCGGTGAGCGTTGTGGTCTTCAGAAGCTCGAAACAGGAGAACATCCATCATTCTGGAGCATCCGAGTGGCCCAAGTGAATGCCAAGAAGATGCAGATCCCCCAGAACGAACAGGGGGGTCCGGGGGTCTATCGATAGCCACTGTATGCATGTGCGGTGAAAGACACTGTAGGGCGATGACGAAGGTCCTCGAGAGACATGCGATTTTGCTCATCCTTGTTGGTAAAAACAGCTCAGTTTTGCGAGAGATTTTACTGGGAAATCTATAAGCTGAAAAGACATTTTGATATTTCCTCCAAACAGTTTGCGCAATGCTTCCGTGGTTGTGCCTTCCTCTTACATAGGTCCTTACGTGGACGAAACGTGGCACTGTACACATTCCAGACTGCCGGGGTCCATTAAGTGCTATCGCACACCCGCTCGGAGTGCCCCTCCATCTCTTGATGGCAGGACCTCCGCGAAAACCATGCTCCCGTGCATCGAGAATGTGCATCGGTACATACGAGTTGGATGCGCCCTTTTTTCTTTGTTAATTCGTTCCGTTTGGTCACATATGGGTACTGCTTGGGCCCGGGCGAGGCGAATCCCTTTCGGACCCCTCACGGTCGTCCAGGGGCCAGCTGCCTAAGACCGACCCCACCATTGACGACCAACGGTGAAGACCTCCATTCGTGACGTTAACACGCCTGGCTGGGAACAAGCTGCTCTTTGTGATAGCTGGACTAACAGCCTTTAACATCCCTTTCTTTCATGGCCAGACGGACCACGTACCTGGAGGGTTGACGGGGCCTCGTCGGAAATGGAACATCTTCCTGCAGAATGTGAGGCAGGCTGAACGCCGCAACAGAGCAAAAGGTGACTTCATTGAAGGACAGACGGCGCAGTGGTCAGTCCGAACAGTCCGTTACTGGCTTGTTTGGACCAGTAGGAATTCGGTAACTAGACGAGGGGGAGCTTCTCAGACCGTATCACACCTCTCCAACCTACCGCACCGCTCTTCTTTCTCCCTTCCACCACACTTCCACCCAACAGTCATTCATATTACCTTGTCTTTGAGCTATAGGTATTCCGTGACTCTCCCTCCCCCTCCCCCTCCACGCTTCCTCTTCTTCCGTTTGCTTCTCGGCTTCTGCACCATACCACGAGAAGTGCGGATCAAAATCATCCACGCCGTGCCTCCTACCGACGTCCAGAAGTGCAGTAACTCGTTCGATTCGTATCCCTTGACTCTCTCCTGGACCTCTCCCGACATCATTCACCCCGCTTGGGCTGTCACCGATAAAGTCCGAGGCTTCCAGGTCGAGCTGGGGCTGGCCATCTGAAACCGTCGGAATTAGGGCAGTTGCTGCTGAGCTCCTTCCCCCACCTCGGCCGTGCAGGCGCCTGCTGGTGTAAGTAGGCAACAATCTGACCCAAATCCCATATCTTCCAGGCGGAAGGAGGGGAAGGCAACTTCAACCACTGCATCCATCCTCGTCCGCCAGTACGACAAGGGAATTCGGTGTCGGCAGCCTAAGAATTCCAGATCAACGGAAACCAGAATTAACCTGGTACTTCTCGTTAGTAATTTCTTCACTTTTAGTCGAGTTCGATTCGTTCAGTTGCTCTGTTCTGGACTGCGCTCCTGCCATTCAACCAACTGAACTGTTTCCGTCGCTGGATCAGGCTCGCTTTGACCTGACAACCACCCACCCCCCATTCCATTACCGAACCCCTCCTTCCCTTGCTCCTTCTACCTTCTCCCTACAGCTCGACCAACACTTCGATTTTTTCTTCCATACTACCACCGCGACATCTCAGCTTCCTCCCCGCCTGGAAGATTATACATCTGCAACCACATCACCAAAGATCACATCACTCTGGAATTGGTCTCAGTTCAAGTTCATCTGCAATTTCGGGAAGCAACCGGGTGATGCTGCCTGTTAACTGACATCCATCCTCGTTATGGAATCGCAGGCAAGCAATCCTACAAGAACACCAGATACCGAAGCCAACCAGCCGGTATCTTCATCCACCACACTGTCCGAAAAAAAGCTCTCGTCCTCCACTCCAGCGTTCCTCTTTCCAAAGCCGCAAGGGAACGACAAACTGGCAACCTGGGTGTCCAACAGTTCACCTGATATCCGACAGAATCTCCCCACCATGTCCGACAATGGGGATTTGGCCGATTCGGCCTACGAGATGATTGGCAACCACTCTGAATTCAGCAGTCCCTTCGGTAGTCAAGATGACGCTTTGTCTGAGAGCATCAGCTCTCTGCCCCCACACCCTTCCGACGATGTTCGCAGTTTAGATGGTTCGGAGGACCGATTCACGACCGAGTCAGATGAGGAACGAGAGGAAGAAGACGAACCAACCGACACGGACGGTGCCGAGGAAATGAGTTCCTCTCGTGCTTCCTCCATCAGATACACGGATCAAGCGCTACAGTCCCCATCGACAAATCTTCCGGCAAACCCCTTGCATTATGGCTCGGTGAGCTCCATTCCCGATACGTCAAAGTCCATCGAATTTCAGGAAGCAGCCAGCGACACTGTTGACAGTTCACCCGTCTTCGTTAAGCATGCGATCAAAGAGTTGGCGGACGAAGAGGCCAAGGCGCTGAGCAAGTCTCTGGAGATCAGCGAACCACCCCGGTCTCTGTCGGTTTCTCTGCGCCAGACAATGTCACAAGCCTGCCTTTCTACCGAGGAGCCTTTGCGAGTTCTATATACAGGTTCGGCAGCAGCGCAGAGGGACATCTTGCTCAAAGTTTCGTCAGCTATCTGGGTCTCACCAAAGGACGGCCATAAGGAGGACGGCCAATTCATGAGGCATCGGGAAGGAGTTTACAACATTGTGCCGATCTCCTCGTTTGGATCTGCTCCAGAACTGGACCTTATGGAAGCTTCAAGTTACCAAATCAAAGTTGAGCATTGCACCTCAGCTACTGTGTCACCGCTGAGAGATGGACCCGTACATGGGCCCGATACGGTTTACTCAGTTACCATTGAGCACGAGCGGACTTACACTTCTTGCCCCTCGCGCTTCGGCCCAGCCGTCCTTGATCCTCATTGGGACGTCCCTCACCTTGCCATTTTCTACTGCTCAGAAAACGCGGAAGAGGAAGATCAGAAGACCAGACAGGCCGCGTGGGGATTCACCAAACGCCATGGCATTCCATCCATCTTCATCTCCGAGCATCTGCGCATCGACAAGCAGGCTGTTGCTTACTGGAGCAAGTATCTCAACAAGCATGCGATCCACATCTCCCTCGAATCCAGCGATCCCACCAAGACGATGGTTCCTCGACTACTGCCTGTCGATCTGGAATCTTTCGGGAACATCAATGCTTGGCAGATGAACCGCAATATTGCCTATCTGACGGGCCTATCCGATACAAAAGGGCCTGGAAAGCAGCACGAGTCAGCTACGAAAGTTAACAAGTGGTGGCAGAACGTGACGCCCTCGGGGATGTCCCGGAATCAAGTCATCGAGGCAATCGGATGGAAGAGATGGCTCTTCACCTTGCTTCTCCCGCTATTTGGGGCACTTTTGGGCTTCTTTTCGGGATACTCGGAACTTCTTCCAGTGCAGCACCTTCAGTCATCGCGGGCGTCGCAAGCTCCGGCGGTCATCGAGACGACTCCGGTACTCCCCTCTACCGTTTCTGTCAAGATCACGCATACCTCTACGGCAACAGTCGTGGTCAATATTACATCCACCAAGACGGTCCAAGCCACTCCTTCGACAAAGCCATCAGCTAGTAGCTTGGCCTCTGCTCTATCCTACGCTGGTCTGCTCTTGGATCGGTCCTCCGACACCTCAGTTGAGTCCCAACCTCAGAAAACGGATTGCTCAGTGCGGGTGAGCAGCCCGAATGAATTGCTGGTCGTGATACCCTCCAGCAGCAAGGCAATGTGGCTGGCAAAAGGTGCAATCGACATCAATGTATATCAGGGAGAGGAGCGACTCAAGACAAAACTTTCTTCTGTGGATGAAGGTATTCTGGTCGAATTGCCGTTTAAGCAGGCTCAAGGACGCTTCAACGTTTCCGTTGTCAGCAACCGCAGACCGAAGATGAACGAGACCTTTGAGGTTGACTTTGGCAAGGATCCCATCATCGAAGTGTTCGAGGCAAGCAAGCTGCTGCTGCAGGACTTTACCAGTGTTCTTTTCGCTGTGAAAAGGGAAGCGGTGCACATTGGATCGTCTCGGCTTGCCGAAACGCGCGATGCGGCTAGGAAGTCTTACAAGGAGGTGGCTAAGAAGGTCAAGGATACCGTGTCGACACGAGATATTGCGAAGTTAAGGAAGAAGATGGACCAGGGAGTTCACCAACTCGAAGTGTCCGTTGTCAAGGCGCAAATCAAGTCCAAGCTGGTATGGCTCAAGTTGCGGGGAACGCGCGAGGAGTACAACGACTATCTTGCCAACGCAACCCGTTTTCTTCAGGAGTTTGAGGCGATGCACCAAGAGAAGACGAAGGAGTCACACGAAGAAACCGTGTCAGATGGACCGTACGGATTTCTGGGAAGGCTCCGCGGACTGAAGGATAAGAAGGGGAACAAGGGCGCGGACATGCTGTGGAGGCTGATGGCATGAATTCAGGACCAGTACTGCTTTTGAGTTATCTTCTGCCTGTTTTCCAAGTTGTTATACATTCTCCTTCGGTGGGTTATTTCGGAAATCATTGGGAATCAAGGGGGCGTCGATACATATCAGGACACTCAGGATCACAAGGGCTCGGGACTGGATTGGAGTTACAACAATTGTGGTGTACATATATGATGGGCTGAGCGGTTCAGGTATTGTAGGTAGGTAGGTAACCATAGCATCTTTGTCATTTCGCGAGTATTGTAGATCAAACGATCCTTCGTTGGTTTTCACCTCTGTTGTCTTTGACATGTGCTGCCTGTCATGAGAATAACGAAGTTGCCCGTGGTTACGGAGTGATGTTTATCGTCGTAGGTAGTAGTGGTGATGGTAATAAGATAGGTACGTACTCAACGCCTTCCCCCTTCACCATGCAATCAACCCCTACAGCGCTTCACGACAGGAGGACAGGCAGCAAGCGACTGACGCACGGACGCTTGCACGACAGCCTCTTGTGAGCCTGAAGAAGACAGGGCATCAAGTCACGACCCAATCAGCGGATGCGGTTGGGACCTTTGGGTTTCGTTTGTTGATCATTTGGGAAGTGACCTCAGCTTTCAGGGGCGACTGGAGGGAGGACGACATTGGGCGAACATGGCTAGGCAGGAATGGTGGGATGGCAGATGGAAGCGCGGAGGAGGAGGACCTGAATGGGAGGACGGGAGGGGCAATCTTTTGGATTCCATTCTGGCCTATCCACCCGCCCTGACCCTGACCCTGACCCTGACCCTGACTTGTGTGGACTTCGACTTGCCTGACTTGAGCCCAGCCCAGGCGCCTGGCGGACTGAGAGAGAAGAACCCACTCCAACGAGCAGAGAGCTACTATCCATCCATCCACTCCCCTCTAACGTTTTCCACTCTCTCTAACACATCGATTTCCCCAAAGCCGCGCCGAACGAGTTTAACTTCTGGATTAAAGTATCCGGTACGTACGTTTTACGTCTTTTTTTTTTTTTGTCTCGCATATGCTTCCCGCTCCGACGTCCTTGCTGGGAGTAGTGTTTCTTTCTTCTCTGTCTACCTACCGACCCGTGCAAGGCATTCAGCATCCAACCTCCCCGCACATAGTCACCCCGCTTCAAATCTCTGCTGGTGGTCTGTCGCTGGCGCTGCGCCGCTCGCTCGCTCGCTCGCCAGACGAGAGACAGAGACAGACAGAGCAGAGAGAGAGAGAGAGAGAGAAACAGACAAGACAAGACAAGGCAAGAAACCCCGCCTTGATGGCCCGTCGTGTCGCGCGCCTAGGTACCACCACCAGTCAGACAAGCCAGTCAGGTTAGCTAGCGGCAATGGCGGGATGGGATGGTCGGGCGCTCTGGTCTCTGTCTCTCCCTCTCTCTCTTGGGGTGGTTGGTGGTTCATGATGCCTGCATGATAGGAGGAAACGAAGAAAGACTATTGCGAAACTTGTCTATGTGATATCACCGACGTGTTCTAACTCTTCCTCGTTGCTCTTAGTTAAACCAAGCCAATAACCGCTAAAACACGTACCCGATACCAAACCCCTGCGTCTATCAAAATGTCCGAGACCGAGAACAAGCCGATCGAGGAGGTCCAGCCTGAGGCCCCTGCCGCCGCTGAGGTACGTTCGCCCTCCTGCCTGCAAACATACTATTTCGATTCGAGACGGCGACTAGAAGCTGTTGGGAGGGTGGCGAAGGGATCGCGTGGTCCATTATCTCGGGCAATAGCTTGATGGGATGGTTGAGCGAACCAGGAGACATCGAGTTTCCTCGCCGAACAGATGGGACCGCGATCCCGCGCGACCATTCCGTTCTCTTTCCTTGCTGGGCTATTCGGAATCAACAGAAGACTAACATGCGCTCGTCGCTTATTATAGACCAAGACCGAGGAGAAGCCCGCTGCTTTCTCCAGCTCGTCCGTCTTCTCCATGTTCGGCGGTGGTGCCAAGAAGGAGAAGAAGGAGGATGAGGAGCGCGGCGACAACTCTGGCAGCGCCAAGGCCCAGCGTGATGCTGCTGCCGCTGCCGCTGCCGAGAAGGGCGAGGAGGATGAGGCCCCCGAGTCTGAGGACGTTCACTTCGAGCCCGTCATCCACCTTACCGAGAAGGTCGAGACCAAGACCAACGAAGAGTCCGAGGAGCAGGTCTTCAAGATGCGCGCCAAGCTCTTCAAGTTCGTCAAGGAGTCCAGCGAGTGGAAGGAGCGCGGTACCGGTGACGTCCGTCTCCTCAAGCACCACGAGAACGGCAAGACCCGTCTCGTCATGCGCCGCGACAAGACCCTCAAGGTCTGCGCCAACCACTACAGTAAGAAACACCCTACTTCTATGAACATGGTCTCGAATGAAGCTTGCTAACATACGATCCTACTAGTCGTTCCTGAGATGAAGCTCTCCCCCAACGTTGGCTCCGACCGCAGCTGGGTGTGGAACGCCGCTGCCGATGTTTCCGAGGGCGAGCCCGAGGCCGTCACCCTCGCCATCCGCTTCGCTAACTCCGATAACGCCAACGCTTTTAAGGATGCCTTCATCAAGGCCCAGAAGGAGAACGAGGCTCTCTTCAAGGCTGCCGAGGAGGCCGCTGAGAAGGAGGAGGCTGAGGAGGATGCCGAGGAGGAGAAGGATGAGTAGATTGTGGTCTAGTTTTGCATGAATTTTAAGTTGCTTACCGGAAAGTTTTCCACCCACCCCGTTTATTTCTCCGTTTTGTTGGGTGTTAGACGGAACGATGCCATTATTACCCCCATGGGTTGGGCGATGGAATGAATGAAGGACCGCTACAGAAGTTATGACGATGATGATTCCCAGGCTAGGGAGCCGATACATGGGCAGCGTGTGCGAGAAAAAGGGGTTGAAATATCCAACATGAAAGCACTATTTGAGGTATGCGTTTGACGAGACTTCCATACGCTGGTAACATACCAAGGCAGCACTTTTGCGACTCTGACTGGCAAGAGGAAGGAGGATGGGGACTGCTACAAGGGATCTAGATAACCTTCAGCTTAACCACCAGTTTTTAGATAGAACAACACATTATCCTTCTCAATCGTACACTGCCTGTGGGAGTTTGGGTGAGAACCTCGTACTTACAACCTCGCCATACCGTACCTGCTGACGGCTGAGCACGATGACCTACTAAAAGATGAGACGAATTTGATGGACTGCCTAACTGACGCAACTGTGCCTGTCTTGAAAGCAATGTGAACAACGGAGTCTCGTTTGCCAAGTCGTCCGTGACGCGGTCTGCCGATGTTCGCCTATAAAGTCTGATCGCTTTGCGGTTTCAAATTACTTCTTGACTTCCTCGCAACGAGTTTGTCACGACCCCCTCGTTCGCCAGTGGTCTCTCACCTCTCGTCTCCCGACGACACAAATTCATTTCTTGAAGCGGTTTACTTCAAAAACTTAGTATCTACTTCAGCATCACCGTCGTTTTTGACAACTTCTTTCCACGGCTTCTGCTTTGCGGATTTATCAGTTCACGATCACCGCGATATCTCAACGAGAGTGGTGATATCTTGGTTCACCTAGGTGAGCTCACCTTGCTAACATCCACGGTGAGGGGTCGGGGTATTTTGGCAGGGAAGCTGACTGCTGACCGTGACTTGCATCATAGCGCACCAGCCACAGCACTCATAGCGGTACTGCACTGAGTGATAGCGACCATGGTCGACTTCAGCCACGGTTACGGTTTTGACTATGGCGGCGCCGCGACGCCTCCGTTCGCGAATGATGAAGGTATGTCCCAACTTCAGAGAGTATGAGTTCATGCACCGTGACCCAAGTTCCCAACCACCACGGCATCCAAGTCGCATCAGCACCACCACTCAGCAACATTTCCCACCAGTGCCTTGTTTGAACACTCCTCGAGCATTTTTCACCCCACGGTCATCAAAGAGGAGAAACACTCTTGAACTTACCTACCCCTCTTCACAATCGCGATCGCATTCCCATCCCACTTTGTCTATCCCATTCTGTACGCTATATACATAGGAGCTATCCCCATCATTATCCCTGGTTCCCAACCGCCACGGCCCGCCGCGGTACCTTTACCCCTCCGTAACGAACGAAACCTTATCCTCTACCGCTACAAAGCCCAACTGTAGCAGCGCGACGGAATCTGCGACACACCAACACATACACCGTCATACATCTTCAAATCCTGCTCTTCCTTTAGAGCCCCGAACGCCACTGTTTAACTACTGCCCGTACTTGAGACACTGAACGAACGCCAATTGTCAAAGAGTGTTGTTCGATAAGTGAAGAGAGTACACAAAGCTAACCGCGGGAATTCATTCAATTCTTGGGAAGCAGAGGGTCTTGAGGATCGGTCCGACGTTCCTAGCAGTGCTAGCAAGAGTACTCGAACCAAGGCTACCAGAAGGAATCCGAAGCGGGTTCCAGGCGCAAACAAGATGATCGTCGAGGTTAGTTTCCGGATACCCAGTCCAGTTTGGTTTGGTGGCTTGCGCAAAGAGGGTGGTTTCTGTGCCGGCATACGGAATCGATGCTGAAGCAAGGGAAAGAAAGGCCCGTAGGAGGAGGTTGCGCGATAGCGATCATTGGGGAAATAGATCCGATGGCTAACGTGGGTTATCTGTCTACAGCGCAAGATCAAGGTTGTCACAGAACAACACAACATCAACAAGCCCGCGGCACAGGAGGGCTATCCTATGAAGGAGTGGACAGTCGAGCTCTACATTCTCGACCAAGATGGCAAGGAGAGACCTGCCAGGTGCTTCACCAAGGTGACCTACAACCTCCACCCTTCGTTCGCGAACCCCATTCAGAGTAAGTAGACATCGGGCAGCCGCCAAACATCTCATCATGTTCTATCGCAAGAGCCAAACGTCGGCTAACACGCTGCGAATCCAGCTTTCAACGACCCCCCTTTCAAATGCACCAACGAGGGCTGGGGTGAGTTCGAGATGATCATCGACATGTACACCACCGAGAAGGGCGGCAAAATCTCGATCGCGCACGACCTGAATTTCCAGCAATCAGAGTACGAGAACATCCACACCGTCACCTTCCGCAACCCATCCCAGGCGCTCCAGCAGCTTCTCAGAGAGACGGGCCCCTTGCCCTCGGACGAGGAGCGCAAGCAGAAGAAGGCGGTCGACGGCGGTTCCAAGAAGAAGAGGCCCTACGACATCGAGCGCATGGCGGATGGTTTGACGAAGCTGGGCGAGGATGACCTCCTTCAGGTTATTCAGATGATCCACGACCACAAGGATGATAATACGTACATCCAGAACAACCTCGATGGTAAGTTTTCCCGGTAGCGAGTGTGGCATAGGTTTCTGGAGGAAATATGACCTGGTGCTGATTGAACATGTCTATAGCCGGCGAGTTCTCGGTGGATCTCTACACTCTTCCTGACAACCTCATGAAGATGCTCTGGGAGTTCTTGGTAAGTTGTCCCCCCTCATACCAAATCCTTTTGGTGATCTGTCGCTGACACCCATCACAGATCAAAGCCAACGTTGTCTCATAGTACGACTTGCTTGATCGAAGGAATCTACAGTAGTCGATCGTCAATCGATCTACGCAGAGTCGTCAGGGACGGGAATTTCTTTCTTACTAGATCACAGTGCGCACCATACCATACCCAGTACACCACCACCCCCTTATTCACCATTATTGATCCCTTGACATCCCCGTCAACACCAACCACACATCCATCCTGCCATTAGAGCCTTGGGCTTTCGGCTCCTGCATTATCATGGCGTTTATGGAGTTATGGTGGAAACCGCAAAAAGCAGAAATTGAGAAAGATCATAAAAGCTTCTCAAAGATAATTCGCGCTTGATTCGATGTTCCAGGCTCCTTCCTTTGTGTGAAGTTGACGGCCTGGGTGTGTTTTCGTTGATCCGTTTCCTTGTTGACAACGTGGTTGCTGCCTTGGCTGGTGGTGTCTGCTCGCGAAGACTGCTTTTCACTGGAAGGGAGTGGCATAGCTTATCAGTTGCGCTTTGGGCGGACCTTGAACCTTATCATGGTTAAGACCGCCCCTCTGGGATCGTCATGGGGAACTTGAGAGATCCATAAGAAGGAAAATTAAGCAAGGAAAAGGTAGGAGGGAGATTGGAGATGTAATGAATTTCATGCACGGGATGTGGAAGGTGGGAAGAAAGATGATGTGTAGGCGAGCGGAGAGTTCAGAAAAGGATTCAGAGGTACCATGGGAAGCAGAGATGGCTGGGTACTTTAGCTGAAGAGGACGAAAGGTGCTGCTGTTAATGGAGAACGGCGTGATATCCCGACCTGGGGTTTATTTTATCTTTCCGTTCGGCGGCCGTTACCTAGTTCTCAGCTCATGGTCTCTGAAGGCTTTCTTGTCGTATGACGGTATTAGACAGGAAAGGAGAGCAGCATAGGGTTAGTTTTACAAAATTCAAGGTATGGATCAATCAGCAGCAACTGGTCTCATTGCTCAATCGTGACCGGAGATATCATCGGCGGGCGCTCATAAAGCAAGGTGCTGCGCAGATGGTAGGTAGGTAGGTACATAGGTATGTAAAATCGTGCACAGATAGTTGATGCTTTTAGAATGTGTAGGGTGCATATTCGTTGATATTGACATTGACATTGACAGACAGATCTAGACTATATGTAGACTACAGTACTAGAACTGGTATAATGTTAAAAAAGAGAATGACAGTACAAGCACGACGGGAGGTGACAGGCACTGGACGACGGACGGACGGGGCAATGCCGGAGAGCGGGAGAGAGGAATACCTGTGATGACGGGACCAGCTTCTGGCATGGATAACCGGATGCTGAATGGATCAGCCTTATATTCAGGTACGGGTCTCAGCGTATTGATGTACTTGAGAAAGACGGGGAACAAACGGACGATGGAGAGGTTGGCCGTTGCAGATGTTTGTGTGAACTACTAGACAGTTCGTGGGGAAGATTCGAGATCATCAGATCGTAATCTGATGTCTAGACTAGTGTAGAGGGACCTATTGATGTAAAGGTCTCTTCAACCGAGAAAAAAACCAATACCAAGGGAAGTGACATCGACCCAGATCGAAGATAGTATGCAAGCCCGCGAATACATATGGGGAAGGTGAGTTTGTTAGTTTTCTCCTACTACAGTCAAGTCTGTACATAACGATATTTGGTTATCTACTGAATCTGATCGTTATAACCAGACTATCGTTACTCCAAGTAGTGCCAAGGCCGCCAAGGCAGGTCTGGGGCAGGTACTCGGGCATAAAAAACTGGTGGTGAAGGTACCGCCAAGGGGTAAGTTGGTGACCTTTCCTAAGTCTACCACCTATCGAGTATAACGATCACCATACTAAACTTGGCCAGATTTTGATCGTAATCTCAATGGCCAATATATCGTTATACTGCTGAAATCTCCATACAAATGAAATGGTGGCGGCGGAATTAATCGTTATGTCCAGATTATCGTTATGCCTCGTATCGTTATGTGCAGACTTGACTGTAGTCGTTAGTTTTCTGCGGAAGCACCACCTGATGAGATCGTAGATCGATCCCAGCCGAGCTTAGCGAAAGCCCACTCAGATGCGAGATGCGTGGAACGAAAGAATTTTCTTCTCCTGCTTCTACCTCGCTTCTCTTAACTTCCTTTCCAAGCCACGATGTTACCTGATGATCAGTAAGAAACTGGGGAAAGTGGAGGTTAGGTTGCAGATGGCAAGATGGCCGATGGATGCTGGCAGATGCGGCTCTTTTTTGGCGAGACAAGTGACAAAAGAGGAGGTTGGCTTGTGAGTTGCTTTTTTTGGAAGGCGGTTAACTGTGATCTCTTGTATGTATCTTGACGTTTGGGGGTTGGATCGAGATCCGTAGGTTCCGTTGGAGGTGACTACAGATTATGGGACTGCTGGCTAGGACTGTCACGTTGTCTTGGAGGTATTCCTTTCTGCGTATCAAGAAGCGTAGAAAAGGGATGGGACTGTCAAGTTCCAAGAAACAGCAGCATATAAAATCGTCCGCGTGACTGCTAGAAAGAGGAAGGAACGTGACGGTTGACAACCAAAGGGAATAAGTGAAACGGTGGCTTATGATTCGTCAGTTTGCTTTTGAGTTTTGACACAGCGATTGAAATCAGAATCATCCGCTGACTTGTTTCTGAGGCTCGCTGTACCGTTCCTGTGATGCTGTCTTGGTTGATGAAGGACCGAGTGAGGCTCCCGTGGCTTCCTTATCTGTGTTTCAGTGTCGCAATTGGCTCGCCATTGGTATGCAATTTGTTCGCTTTTGCCGAGTGTGTACCCGTTATCTTGAGGTCGGACTGGGAGGAGGATGACGGGAAGAGGCGTCTGGCAGCCTTTTTTTCCAATGTCTTGCATCAATCGATTCAAGTCTTGCAGCCCAACCCCATTTCCAGATCAGATCTCATATTTGCTGCTGGTATCTTTCCTTGGCATCAGCCGTCATCTCTTTCTGGAAGGCGTTTCTGATGATGAACAGCTGGTCTTGATAAGATTGTTGAATGCCGAGACAAAGTTTACCTTATGCCCGCCCAAAAGCCGACGATTTCCATTATCAACGGCAACGGGCGTTTCGGCGGTCAAGGGTCCATAGTCATCTTTTGAATTTTCTAAAGATTCCACAGAGGAGCCCGCTTTTGAGGTCCCCGGTTAGGTACACCATCAAAAAACCCATTTTACGAGGATCCTTGGAGAGGGGTTCGAGGGGTTCATCGTGGAAGGTGTCAGTTCATCGACGAGGTATCGTGGGTGAGGAAGCGAGAAAGAGGACGTCGGTGCGGTGCAGTGTTGCATTGCTCTTCAGTGCTCCTGGACAGTGTCGGACAGTGTTGCACTGGCGGTGGACTTTTTTCTTTTCTCGGGGCTTCTTCCTCATTCTGATAGGCCTGTTCCCCAGAGACACCTTGCGAACCTCTTTTCACTCTCTCGTTACCGAACTGCATCAACACAACGAAGGAACTCTTCGTTGCAGTTCATCAACATTGTGATTGATTGATTCCATCCCAGTTCGACCACTCACACAGGGACCAGGCACAAGGGCACTCGCTGGGCTGCACTGCACTGACTCTGGCCACTGGACGGGATTGACGGGGACTCGGGGACTGTCCGCTTACTCCACCCCGCAAAAAGAGAAGGAAGAACTCAAGGTCCACTCCCGCGTGCACTTTGGACGTTTTGCACGTCCATTTGGCGACCCCGACACGACGGCATTGGGATTCCAGCATCTGCAACAAAATCCAATCCAATCGGTTGGAGTTATTGGAGATCGATTGGAGACAGGGGGAGGGGCAAGAGCAAGATCCGCCCGCTTTCTTTTATTCTTGTTCCAGCTAATCAATCATTATCGCCGCCTGCCCATCTCGTCGCCGTTCGGCTCTTTTATCCTACCAAGACCTGTCCTGATAGCCGTCCTGACTCTCTTCAACCACCACAAACCGCTGCAAACCGACACCGAGGTCAGACCCAGGGGCCTACCTGGACCCGACCAGCCCGACACCCATCATCACCACCGACGGCCTCGGGTCGCATTGACTCCATTGCCGCCCCTAACCATGGCCCAGTACGCCGCCTCGGTCGCCCAACAAGCCGCTGCTGGCCATCACTCTCTTTCGCCGCTGTCGCCGTCCGCCTCCGGTTCCGCCTCGGTCGGAACTGCTCCGCCCTTGACTCCATCCGGCACCGCTCCGGCTGCCGCTACGGCTCAGAGTGGAGCCGGATCTGCTTCCGCCTCCCAACCTCAGGACGAGCCCCGGCCCCGGTCCCAGTCGCAATCCGGCGCCGGCCCTTCTGCCACTGGCGGTGGTGCTTCTTCTACTACAGGAACCCAACACAAGCGGGTTTATCAAGCATGTATCCCCTGTCGCCGTCGCAAGGTCCGGTGTGATCTGGGTTCCGTCGATAACCCCAGTGATCCGCCATGTGTCCGCTGCCGGCGCGAGAGCAAGGAATGCTACTTCAGCGCGACCCGCCGGAAGCGCAAGGTGGACGATGACATGACCGACATCTTTGATGATCCCGACCATGACGACTATATCCTTCGCAACGGCAGAAAGCAGCTGCGCAGTGGTGAAAGCCCGGTCATAGCTGCCACTATTGATCGCCGTCTCTACAGCGATGTCCCTCTCACTCCTGGGGGTAGCCGTGGCCGGGCACAACCGCTGAGGAGACCCGGAGATGGCGACCCCAAGAGCACCACGAGCACTGGAGGGGCTCGGAGTACCACCGGCGGCGAGTTTGGCGCCGGTGAGGCCAACACTCCGCTGGAGAACTTTGAGGCCAGAACAGTTATGCGCAGGGAAGTCTACGGTCCACACGACGCTCTAGACTTGTTGTACAAGGCGGCGACCGACAAGTTAGTTGATACCCGTGATGATCGGTCCCAGAGACTGCCATATGCTGATGTCGCGCGCTTGCGTAGCCCGATGCATAGGCAGGACGGAGAGTCTGCTGCCGTCGGGAGCTCTTCGCGGACCAATCTTCATGCTGGGCG